GCTATCGCTTGGTAAAACGTCAGTTCAAAAGTTCCGACCTTTTGATGGCGTAGTGAAGCAGGAACCCATCCAGAGATGGATAGGAACGCTAAAAATCTCTCTATCTGTTTTACGTTTGACTTCTGCAAGCAGACTATTTTGTTCTGAAGTTTAGCTCTCTGTGAAAATCTCCGCAGCGTTCAAGCCAGAAAGAACTGAAATCAGACAATTTCGTGCATATTTGAGAAGTTATTCTCCTCAGCGATGCGCTCTTTGGGGGAACTTTACTGGCCTATGGAAACCTGCATGCTCCATTTACACAAGGGCACCATCGGTGGCCTCACAAGTTCAGTTACAACCTCAAGCGCTATCATGTTCTTCGTTACAAGAGTAGTGAGGCCACTCTTCTTATGTAACTCTTTGGATCTCTAAATTTTTGTGTAGCATAACCCACCGTTTCTTTCCTAGGAGAATGGGGCAACCTTCATTCTAGACAATTTGCTCACATGACCTAGTTGGGCACCTCAATCTCACGATGATTTCTGGTGACGTATTCACCACTCTATTGCAAATACCGTGCAGGAAGTTTACAGTGTAGTCTATCCCCATCGTATAAGCGAGTAATATTTGGTTAAATATGCCTAAAACTGCTTTTCGCTTCTTTGCAAATGACTATCAGACAGCTTCACGGGAACAAAATGCTGGATTCCTAACCAGTCCGGAAGAAAACCTGTCGAAATGCGAATTTTCCCATACTAAGTGGGCTGTCGATTCTATGGTTCATGGGTTTATAACCAAACCCCCTTTTGGGAAATCTAGAGTGGTTCTGTTTTTGGTCGGGTATCAATTCCAACTCAATTGCCATGGCTTAATTTAGAGTCAGGTAGTGTATCTATTGAAAGACTACTGTTTCGTGATAGTTGAAGGATATTTGTTTCAAAAATTTGGCAGTGGTCGCATCGTCCGTGATATTTCTCATGAGTCCCCCATCTAGGGTCTGTCGAGTCTCTAAAAGTCAAATGAACCCATGCAGGTCGATTGCACTTAGACTAATGATTACTGACGTATAAAACCGCGTAAATTGTGCCTAATTATTAAAAAAACGGGCCACTTTGTATCCGTTTTTCTTACTGGTACTGCATGTTTTGTTTACCCACGGGTAAGGATTTTTCGGTCAGCTTCGGTGCGCCACACAGGCAAACTCATAAATGTGGTGTTCCTTATACAAATGTGTGAAAATTTTTCCGGTTTTGGTGGCTGGTCAGATGGTCGTTGGTCTGTTTGCCGACCGAACAGATCAACAACCATCACTAAACACACACCCGAGCTACAAATTGTTTCGGTTGACTATGTCTCATAAAAACAATTTCGATAAAGCTTCCCGTCATTCATTATGCCATTGTATTTATTGGCTTTAAAACAAATGTGCGACTTAGGAGTGGTATTTCTCTAACGAACACCTTTTTTTACAGGCTTCTAAGTTTTGGTTGACAGATGCAAATGCTTTTGAAGTCCAACGGCTGGAAGGACGTTCATGCGAACTGACCCATTTATGTCAACCTAGTGAACTCCAATACGAGTGAAAGACCTCGTATTGGTGAATTTCTTAAACACTGTCTACAAGTTTGCGTTGGCTTGTGACCTTTTTCAGTAGGACTGCGGACCATCAAACAAGCGTGTGAGTAAACAATCTAATCATGTCTGACTCACGCAGGTTTATTCTGCATTTGGATGTAAGTGTCAACTCAGTCTGCGGCCCCATTTTCAACACTGTTAGCGGCTCAAATGTCAGCCTCCAACACCCTCACCTTTTGAAGTGTTGACAGGGACTTGCCAAAGATGATTGGACAGTTTATAGGAAAATCAATAATTACTGTCATTTCTGTGCCCTTTGGCGAGTGCACGACTGAGAAAATAAGTGTCCGTAACACGAAAATGACCTTATTTCACTTGTTTCATCGCACTCTTGTCTGTTACTTCTTTGTTCTTGTGAAAATCTTGGTAGTATAGTCCGATAGTGTTATCGGATGTAACCGACCCTTCGTGGGGGGCGGCACTAGCATTGTTCACTACTCACAGCTGTGTACTCTGTCTATGTTACACTTGAACAGAACTTGACGAACTACGGGAAATTCTCAATACATGTATGGTTCAGTGCAAACAGATGTCGTTGAGACTGCTGAAAGAACTGGAACATCGCGATCATCAGCAAGATGTGTTCAATGAGATGTGTTCTCAGATCAGCATTCAAATCTCAAAACTTGGTAGGTTGTTTCCTTTTTGTTTGGTTTCATCAAGTCAGTGTACAAATGAATTGTTTATGGGTATTGATTTGGTGGTATGTCATTGGTTGAGTCTTTTTAAAGTATGGTTTCAATTGCCAAAACTAATACAGTGGCCTTTGTTGTTCACCCATGACAACTTGTTGGGAAACCCAACCTATATTTGATGCCATTAGCGTCCCGTCACTGTAGACTACATTTCATCCAGTTGGACTCAGTCTGGTCGTCATTCCCTATGGCAGTAGCGCTGAAATCATTTGATTTTGCTTGGATCACATAGATCGGAACAATCTACGAACAATTTCGAGAAGATTTAATGGGTACTTACCGGTACGACGATGGTATGCAGTGAAATGTACCCCGAAAGTGCTCTAATCCCTTCAGACACGCAACAGCTAAGCGAAACCAGGTAAACGGGTGTATTTGGATTCTTATAAGTCATCCATCCACATTGCATCACCATGAACCAAATAATGAGTGCAAAGTTAGCACAAACATTTCGAAAACGAATGTACAACAAAAACTATCCCGCTAACAAAAAAGCTTCGGAGTGGTGTCAAATAGTCACTTCCACTCATAGTTCATTGACCAACAAAGTTCCGGGAAAAACTCTCCACTAAATATAGGCCCTCCCATAAGCAGGAGAAGGTAGTTCGATGTGGACGATAGCATCGTTTGCCGTAACTGACTTGTTCGTAACCATATATGCGATTTGAATACAAAAACCCGTTACGAAATTCTTGTAGTGCTGTTGTTCATTTTCCTCGAGAAGTTAAACACAACCCAAGATCAATTGAACTTGGAATTTTATGTCCAGTTAAGTTTATTCACAAACGCCACTGTAAGCCCGCAAACCGAACAAGTCCTTACACTCGAGAAATACACTAATTTGCAAATCAATTTGGCCTCCCGTGAAAACCAAATTGATCTGCAAATTAGTGTATTTCTCGAGAACAGTGCAATTTGGATTCAAGTAGATCATAAGATTGACGGAAACTCGGGGACTGCGCCTACCTGATGAGCCCCAAGAAGGGCGAAACCGATCGTGGGCTGTCGAAGAGTTTTCAGCAACCTTGTGAGTAGTTTAGTTTCCTTTAAAAGTCCTTAAACTGATGTAGACGATCAAACCGTGTATTTTTTTCAAAATAGCCAGGAACCAAATTCCCATTAATCAGGTGTACAGCATGAAGAAAATCTCACTACTCATAGAATGAGCTGCTGGATCAAACCTTCTGCAGTATTTCTACTTTTTAGAAAACTAAGGAACCAAGGTTTGCTCGCAAATGATTGCTCATTCACTGTTTTTCTGCATCATTTATCACCAGAAAGGAACAGAAGCATCAGTGTATGCTTGTTACATGAACTCACAGCATGAGAATGAAATTTAAAAGGCTGAGGCGTTTGGGACGTGCACTACTGACGTCTCACGACTGTCTTCCAAAGAAGGTGGTTTTTCTTACTCCAAACCCCTGTTGGTGAGGAGGACGAGGAGGTAAGGCCATGGAAAGGCTGTTTGAAATCACAGTGGCTAGGTGATGTAAGATAACTGAGCCTTCCTGACTGGAATCTATGTGGTTCTTACTGCATGTGATCAGAAACCCTTCAGGATCTAACACTCAATCGATCGCTGTGGCACTGACGATGCCACTTTCTAGCCGGATTTCGTGGTCAAAGTTTGTGCCGTCCTATTCTAAGCTGTTGTTTGATGGGGTTCCAAAAGAATGGTGGATCAATCTAACTGGTGCGGTCCTATCCAGATGTGACACTCGCATGTTTCTCTCGTTTTTCTTCCTTGATCGCCTTCCCTAGGGTTATGGGGCCTTTTCAATCGATTCCCACGCTTTCCTTTTCTTTGAACTCCTTACTAGTGCATTCATTCTTGATTACAGTATGAAATCAGTATTTACCACTGGTTTGTTGTCGTTGATGGTGACGATGATGATGGTGAAATGGAATCTTACGTTTAGTAGCTCGTCTCCCCTTAGAACACGTACGAACCATGCTGGATCTCAAATGGCTCTTAACTGAGTGAGATGAAAATGAGTTGGATAGTTGAGTGATTAAATATAATAGATAAAATGGATGCCACACGTCTAGCCGAAAATCTTCAACAGGCTTTCATGAACTACGCTTGGCAAAATCCTACCATGTGGCCCTAGTGGATCCCCACCCATCCAAGGAACCAGTTTATGATAGGGTAATGATAAGCCAATTTCTGTACGAAAACCAGACTGTTTCAGGTTGATGTTTTGGTTGAAGTTTACCAGATTACCCAGGCCGTACATCAGCATTAACCTTGACAATAATGTCACTGCAACTGAGGCTCAGCCCAACCTGTGAACGCATTGTTAAGTGGGCGGAGTTTTATACACCGTCAACTGCTACCCATTGGCGTAGTTCGTCCGGATGAGTGACGCCACTGTAGGAGCGGAATCGTGGGATTATATTTTTTCTCAATTAGTGTACTCGAGCACATAAAATAAACAGCCCGACAATAAATAACTTGCAATGGTAAAATGATAACCATACGCTTACAGTTAGCAGCAACACAATAGATCTTTTTGGTGTTGGTTCGCTTGTTGGGACCTCCATAATATTGACGTAACCATATCTAGTAAGTTGAAGATCAGAGTATGCCTCCACAGAAGTTACACAGTAGAAGAAGGAAACGATGGCATGTTGTTGCTCATTAATTCATATAGAGTGGGGTCATTGGAAGCGATGGCATGTTATTGCTCATTAATTCATATAGAGTTGGGTCATTGCCGCTTCTGAATTTAGTTCATGTCTCCCTACACACGTGAAATAGTTTGAAACAATTTTCTGGCTCTCTACCGTTTGCTGGCGGTATGGACGATAGCGGCTTGAAAAAAGCTGTTTCGTCGAATAATACCGAATCAAGGTACAACTGGCTCGTTTGTTTTCTCAAGCGGTCACTCGTGTTCCCTTCACTAAGCTAAACCCTGACGACCGTACTCCACTGATAAATGCTGGACTACATTTTTTAGCCTACTTAACGTTGACAAGTAGGCGGTGTGCACTCACTGTAACCATATTCGGACAGCCTTTCGGAAAGACGAAGAAAGACACAGGCCAATTGGACACGGCTGTTCATAGGTTAAATTACTGAGTCGCAATTATATTGGCTAGGCTGAGCGAGGCGTGTATTATGCTGGCTTTGCCAGGAGCAGGTAGGATGACGTGCCTCCGATTCTATTGTGAAGTAAAAGACGACAATATTAGAAGACACGTCCTGGTCCGCTTTCAGTCGAGTGCAAATTTTTGGACTTTCAAGTGAAGCGCTGTAACAAGTTCCCCGAAATGGTGCACTGCGGTGACGGTAATTTTGCCACACCTGACCCGCCTAGTCTTATAATGAATCGCTCCGGTCATGTACAGTCAAATCCATTGTTCTTGTTCGTTACTTTGGCCCATAGGGGTTATTTTATTATGTTTTTGCCACCCAAAGCCGCACTTAAAGGTTGAAACTGCTACTCCTCATTCAGTTCCCGAATCTCTGAGACGAAAGCCTCATTGTATTCACATGTACGTTTACGGACGCAAAGTAATGTGTATTTTTCTACCGAGAAGCTCTAGCTCTAGCTCGGTAAAGTTTCTGTTAATCTGGAAGATGCCTAAACGAATTGTCATGAACCATCTGGAAACTATGGATTTTTACAGGTTTCTATCAGATTTCTAATAATACTTTGCTCAAAAGTAATAGAGACTGGGGGATTCATAACCTAAACTCCCTACCCCATCCAAGGAGTTGGAGGTTCAAGAACATGAAGGGTACCACTTATCTAAAAAATTCAGATCCGAGTCGGTATGGTCATGATTTATCTTGTTTTAGGCGGTCTAGTGGTAAGGAATTTTGACGAGGTATCATATGCAAGATACGACTTTTGAAGCATCCAGCTCATGAACCCGATGACTGATTTTCTGCCTGTGAATTTCATTGTCCTCATCCCATCCACTCACGGAGCACCGAGAATCCGCTGATCCAAGTATATACTCGTTCTAGGTCAAGCCTCAGCTTCAGAGCCTGATCGCGGTTATGGTTTTTTAAGGCCTACTCGTTGTAACTATTGTTCACGATATCGTGTGCACGTTTTATTCCGAGTAAATGAGATACAACAGGGTGAGTAGGATTATCGGTTGTGCGATATTCTGCACAATAATGTTGACGGTCGCGGTTTACGAGGGTTGGTCGCTTCATGTCTATCGAATCGATGGCCTGTGTTTCCAGAACGATCGTTTGCTCGAATATTTGTTCGCTGCATCTAATGCAGCCTGTTTAGAGTGAGAGTTAGAAGCACTCATCATGGTCATGGTGCTTGGACGTTTTTCTGTGATAAACGTAAACATAGTCTCGTATGGGTGCGTGGAATGAGATGAAGCAGAAGCATGGTTTTGATGAATTTTCTCTCGCCATAATCGTAGCCCTAGATGGAACTGACTGTGATATCGACTTTTTGGTTCACCAACCGAAGATTATTTCTTACCGAGGGATCTGCTTTCCACAGTCCGCCAAGGCTGTTATTGGACCGAGGCTTCCTGAGGCCGCAGTCAGTGACTTGTGTTATCTTGCTATTTTTGGCTCTCTTCGTACCTACGACAGTTTTATGAGCGGTAAATGGCACTGAGTATTCATTCTTGCCGTTGGCTTTCACACCTGACCCAGTATGACGGACAATTTGTGCCTGACGTGCGAGTCTCGACTATGCGAGCGCTTGCTGTGCCTTGAAGAGCATTTAACATTGCTTGTCCTTTATTCAGTTCCAGGTTTTTACACGCGTGCTCCCATGCCAAACACTCTTACGTTGGTATTCACTTTGTCTGACTGGAACTGTTGGTCGTACAACTTCGAATGGGACGCTCCCCACCTTTTATCTAATATTCTCCTATAGTCCTTCCACATCTATCGCTTGCTTTTGTTTATTACCATGTCCTTCAAAAATGCAGAGGTAGTATTCATTTCGGATAGATCACGTGAACAGATCAATTAGTGTTTATTGAAATATATGTGAACAATTAATACTCATGACCTGAACCTACAACCTAATCCCGAGTGACAGAAAAGGCCACTGATACAATCCTACATGTATTTTCGTCCTTTTGTAGCTGCCGGTAACAATAATCCTGTAACGGTAAACAGTCTCTGTTAGTCAGGAAGCGGTGCTTGGTATACGAGTACCAATGATCAGTAGTAAAAAAGTAATGCTTGGTCTCTCCTGGGAACTGGCTTTTCTTAGGTATAAGTGATATTCTACGGGGAACAATGAACTTTAAAGTGATTTCCAAAATAGTTGCAGTTTTATTATTACTAGTATGGTCACAGTCTATAAGTTGTCTTCTGGGAATGAAAAAACCTCGGTGGTCGCATAGACCTTCCATCTGAAAGGTTGTTAGATTAGGAGTTGGGCAACGTCTTACCACGTGACTCGGGCTATTTGAATGAAGGATGACTGAATCCATCTCATGTCGAAGTGAGTGTCGATTCTGGCTGAGCGGCATAATACCTACCGTGTTAACGTTTGAATTTCTCAAACGATTCATGAGATTTACGACGTTTATAGTTCACCTCAAGCCGATAATATCGGTATGGTGTAAACGTACGTGGCAAAAGTCCTTTCGAGGCGTTTAAATATTTTTACTACCTTCAAACCATTACATTTCTATGAGCACTGTTTAACTCTTGACGTATGTGAACATTGTAGCTAGTAGGATCCCATCTTGACGTTTTGTGATCAGGCGCTTAATCCAGCGACTTATTTTCTTTCGTAGCTGTTTGTTTTGGGCGGTCGTTGCAAATCAAGCATTAGGAATATTCTTGCACCCGAATTCTGGATATTGTTCAAATTGGCCCTATTTGTTCAGCAACTATTCTCGTTCCTCTGTGGTTGGTGGTTATACACCTCTGACCGAGAATGGACCTACTTTCATCGCATTCTATAACTCGGTAGATCTGGTTTCACATGATTAACAACACAGCTCTCAGTTGATAAAAAAGAAAGACAGAGCCCTTGTTTATGCGTAATCTATAGGCTTCGGAATCCCTTCTTTTTTGTGATGTTCCTCTTACTTCCGTTGAGAGTTTTATACGCTATAAAACCTATTCACTCACGAGAAGTCTGCCGGTGCTACTAAGTTGATAAAGATCACTGATCTTTGGGAATCGCAAACGCTTCCTTATTTGTAAACAACCTATCTGATCGGCAGAGATCACACCACTTTTTGTGTGTTCTGCACATGACAATTTTACTTGCAAGCGAGTAGCGCTTTAATTAGATTTCCATTCAGAAAACGCAATAGCGACAGTTCCCTCCGCTTCCTGTCCCCGTTCATCACCGGAGGACCAGTGATTACTCAGTCCTTCTTCCATCTCGTGACCTCAGTTTCACTGTCCTCTATCCTTTTGTCATTGGTCGATCGATGCTGCCTCCCAAACAATGGGAACATGGGACGTAACGACAGTGATTCCCACAGAAAACGTTTGGTGTCCGTCCCAAATCAAATGAGCTTATCCTGCACATAATATCGATTTGTCCTTCGTTTAAAATGGTAGACTTAACCTTTTGGGATTTTATGATATTGACTGGTAACCTTAAGGTCAGCGAACATTTGGCAGAACAATGCCACTACTTAGCGAAACGAGATCAGGTTGACGCCACTCGTCGATGTCGAGTTCAGGAAAAATTTTCCTCGCTTTTGAGGCACTTGTTAAGAACTAGGCAACTGCATATCGATACCAAGACTCTTGAGTGAGCAAAATATTTGGAGAATTGATTACAATTGTTCCAGGTGTATAATAGCACCCAGAAAATAACTGCTTGCTCCGTTCGTACCAGTCACTTCCCACACCTAGCGTTGCGTATACAAGCTATACAAACCACTCCGAGTTGCGTTTGGCTGGATTATTCGATGGCGTGTGGACTGTTCTCGCAAAGCATTATTTTCCTACCCAGTATCGTTCAAACGGAGCACATTGTTCCAGATTAGCTGTGCTGTCTAGTCCATTTATGTGTCTGGGAAAGCGGGCTAAAAATATTCATAAGCGCTCATAATCACGCAGTGATACTCGTGTCAGACGACTCACGTCCATAAACTGCATGTGATCTTATTTCGTGTTTGTTTGTCTGTTAGGCTACCAATGAAGTCACCCATAAACCCAACGAGTGCCGAGATGAGCGTTTACTGAGCGAGCGCTCGATAGTAGAGAGAAACAAAGCAGCCACACCTTCTTGTCGTGAATCGTGCAGAAAACACTCAAATATCCATTCGTTTTCACAAAACGGTAATCAGCTCATCGTAGACTGGTAAAAACGCGTCTGATGAAAGAAGATCCATAAAAGACAGATGTCCTTTGCGATGATAGAATGTGAAGCTATGACACCCTTAGGCTGTGGTCGTGTATTGTGATTTTACAGTAAGTTGCTCAGCGGGGTTATTGAGGCTAACAACTAGAAATCGCAACTTTGCATAGATTGCTCACAAAACTTCTGTGGATTCTAAGGGTTTGCTCGACAGCATATTAAATTAGCCGAAATTTGATGAACTTGTTCAATGGTATGGTGGTTCTTGTTGCCTCTTTGTCCACCACCCTATCCGTATCATACTTGAATTTGTGTGAAGAACTTATAATTTCCTAATAACCATCATGCACCATTCGTGACTTTTGAGAATCGACCAGAATCTATTCCAGGAAGCACTATTTTTGGACGGTTGGCGGATAGATATCTGCTGTCGGGTCGAAATTGGCTGAATCTAGTTATGTATGAGACTCCCTTTCTCTCTCTGAGATTCTTCAGAAGAAAGCAACGTGTCTTTCATACTTTCTGAGGGAAACATGAATAGTCTCCGTAATCACTTTCATAGGAAAGAGCAGATACGAGTGAAATCCATCAAGGCAACAGGGGGAGGGGCTCGGTTTGGTAGTGATGATTCTGGGCTGATAATTTCTGTTGCATAATCTCGTTGTCATACGTTTCACAAATTACACAGTCTACAGAAGAGTTTGTTATAGTGTTTCAAGGAAAGAAAAACAACTACTGATTAACCTACTCTTTCCGTTTTCTTCATGTCCGCATTTCCACATTTATCGAGAAACATGTTGGCGTTGACAGTAGAGCACTATTTGAACGGCGTAGCACAAATGGACGCCCGTTGCTTGTCTGCAAAGAAGGCAAAATGTGTTCACTGATCTGCTGCAACGCGTGTGCATCACTATTTCTCGCCAATTCGGTGTCTTGTACTTTTCAGAATGGGGCTAGAAAATGCACTTTAGAATTCTGACATTTTTCTTGAGTTCAGGAATAATGCTGAAATTGCATCCAACAATTACGTGTCCAGGAAAGAAAGCAGATTTTCTGTAGGGGAAAATGTCGGTAGCTCAGGTAGCGTAGATGGTCGGTGGATTGTTCACTGAGCTGGGCAATTTGATTGCAAACGTGTCATCACCAGTCGAGGTGACATCATCAGTGCGTTATTGGGGAGCGCACAACTACCAACCCACCGCTAGGGACAACTTCACTCCCCAACAACGCACTGATGATGTCACCTCAATGAAACGTTTGCAATCAAATTGCCCAGCTCAGCGAACAGGCCAACGACCAAGAAAGCAGATTCTCACATCCATAGTGTATATCCATAATGGTTTACCCGTTTCCACTACTTCAGGATCTCTACACTATTCTGGTTTTACTACGGATCAATTTCGTTTTCCACCAATCTACTTACAAAGCGAATCCCTGAAAGGTTGAAGGCGAGTATTCGCTTGACTTTACCGACCACTTCGGTTGGTTATATACTGATAGTGTACTGACAACTCAATGCTGGTTATGTGAAAATTTTGATCAGTCTTCGAACGACAAACCGTCAGTTCTTCGGAGCCTTTAGTCGCGACTACGGATAGGGTAGGCATTTCAGAGGAAGTGTAAAGCCAGCTGTAATATTCTGAATTCGATGGGACTGAATGAAGATTCCATCTTGTTCTTCACTCAGGTTGTTTTCTTATGGTCGATTACGGAGTAAGATGTATTTTTTTGAACGTCCTTTCTTAGCGCTCTTAACTTTGAAGTCCGTTATCGAATCTAGTCTGACCAGGTTTTTCGGTGGTCCCAATGACCTCGACTTGGATATGGGAACAAAAATCAAATTGATGTCGATACAGAAAACAAGGTCTTAATTACCTCAGAACAAGAAAGCACTTAACCGCAATTTACAAGTTCACTAACACGGCTTTCTTGCAACCCTGTTTTAATGGAGTAGAAGCTTATTAGAGCGAAAGTTAACTACACCCTCTTCCTTTCCGACTACACTTCTCTTGCACGCTACACTACACATAAAATGAAGCAGGATGTTCAAGTCAATAAATCTACCGATTGTCACCAAACTTTTTCGAAAACAACGTTCAAGTCCTCCTTTTTGGACATTTAAACATGTCAGTATTTTTGTTCATCATACGGTTTGGTGGAGGAAGATGAGTGATAAAAATTCGTGTATTTCTGTCCGCAATACCAAGCTATTTTCCAAAAACTGCTTCGTGAAAGTGAGTGACACGTAATAGCCATTTATGCCCGGAGCCGTCATCCCTCGATATTACATTGTTTATTGCTTGACTAGACGTTTTCTATTTCCATCTAGGAATATTCTTGAGGTTGTCCTCATGTAGTTACAAAATCAAGTTTATCATCTGCAGGACATCTGACCGGGTGAAATCCAAGGATACCCGTTCATTGGTTGCCACTCTGTTTCTCCAATTGGCTGTCATATCGACCCAAAGTTGATCACACTGAGTTGAGTTCACATCTCCAAATCGATCGCCATTCCAGCCGCTGATAAGAGCATACTGACAAACAGCAATCATTATTTACAAATCATTGTCAAGTGTGGTATGAATGGAAGTAAGTGGCTGGTAGTTCCTCCGAAATGAATTCAGTTCTACGAGTCTCACTTAGCAATTAAATTTATCCAAGTCATCTGAACCGTGTAACCGTCAATGGATTAGTGCTTGAGTCCCCCAATATTTCTTACCACAATGGTATGCCTCCCACATGACTTTCAATAGCATGCCGAGTTTTCAGTCAAAGTTTTGTCCTGAAAATTTGTGAACATTTTTCGGATAAGAATCTGGATTTCAGTGACGCAAAGTGGTTTCAGTTAAACTGAAGACGAAATATTTATTCTATGTTGGGTCTCCCAGAAGCTATTTCGTACCGGTGAAGTTTCTGGAAAGAAAACATAAATATCAGTAAGACGGTAGTTCGGTTAGCATAGACGGCCGTTTCCATTAGGATGGAGAACAAAGATAAAGTCCTCTTAATTATGCAGATGCATTGGCTTTGTTTTTTAGTTGAATACCATCTGTGGGATAAAATGGCATGTCTTAAAATAATCTGCAGCAGACCCACGTCACTGCCACGCCATTTCCACAGTTGATTAAAAGATGAACATGACCCATTCGTGACTCTCTGTTGGGAAGCTGAACTCTGGTTCTCAAATACGCATCTAGACACTTTCAACAGTGGTCAATGTCTCCCTCATTACCAAATTTTGTGAGTACCTCCACGTGGCTGAAGTCAAAAGACACCAAACAAGAGTCCGCTTAATTCGACATCAGAAGCAGCTCCGGTTAAAACGGTGCCTGCCAGAACAGTCCATTCACAAATATGAGTCGCTTGGTTCGTAGACACTATCCTCTCGTATAATCTGAATAAGTGCGTACGGTAACAAAACGTTTACCAGTACTAGAGCATCGATGCCCATTTATCTTTTAGCTTTCAAATTCAGGCACACAGATCCTTTCGAGTAAGGGAGTTATTTCTTTTCAACCAACCAACTTTTCCTAATGACTGAGTTTTTGAAGGATATCCGACTTTTTTAAAAGTCAGGACTTCTTAGTCAGGTAGCATGACACACGCTTGAAACCGACTGTGCAACTATTTGGTTGCAATTTTGGGGTTTTGCGGGATAGGTATTTTGTTCGTAGTCATACCACTCTCGTTTGAACGGCCGTCCTCCCGTTCTGGCATAATTATTTCGGTGAGTCCACACACCAAAGGAAAGCACTGGACTCGAGTTTCGCTCTTATTAGAGTTCATCAGCCGTGCATATCCAATGGCCGTGTCGGGATTTGTAACCCGGACCCCGAAGCGAGCATGTAACCACTAGTCCACCAACGCACGTTGGACGCATCTGAATTTTCACGTCTGAACAGCCGAGTGTGTTGACACTTGAGCGATGCGATTGATGTGCCCGACCCATCGAACGACGACCAAGTAACTGTCCTGGTTGTGACGATCGTTAGTTGGTTAAAATAGAACACCATTTATATCTTTGTAATGTACTACTCATTCAGTTGCTGAAAATCCATCGACAGCTCACGACCGGTCTCGCCCTTCTTGGGGCTCATCGGGTAGGCGCAGTCCCCGGGTTTCCGCCAACCTTATGTTCTACTTGAAACCAAATTGCACAAAATTAGCGAATATACACTCATTTGCAAACTAATTTGGTTCTTTCGGGAGACTCACCTTGAACCCAGCTGAATCTCTCGTTTATGGTGTTCTCAGGCCCCAAAAAGGGTGAAACCGGTCGTGGGCTGTCGATGGATTTTCAGCAATCTTATGAGTAGTACATTACAAA